TTTTAGAAAAATTGTAGAATAGTTCTTCCAATAAGAAGGATGAACAATAACGTCCTCTCCGCTTGATCTTATAACCCTGACATATTGAAATCCAGCATCGCGCAGTACCCTAATGCCGATCCGGTTATTTATTCGAGCACTGTACGAAAGTAGCAGAGTGTACCACGCAAGTAGTACCACGTGAAAAAAAAAATTTTTATGTGAGAGAAAAATAGGGTGAGCTCCATACGTGAGTACACATTTTTAAAAAGTTTTAGAAATGTTGATGAGCATTTTGCTTGATTCGAATGGGAAATTTTGGACCAATTTCAACAACAAAATTTAATCTGGTGGAAACCATTGGACATTAGTTGACTTCAGGTTCAGTTCATGTCTAAATTCAAATTCGGGTGTTCTTATTTTTGAAATACAGTATTGAGGTCTTAAAGAGTCAATAAAAATGGGACGAGCGGTTTATTCGGGGATACAATTGTATAAAAAATTTCAACTGAGAAACCCCGATGCCCGTCTTACTCGAGGGCGCGTGGTACTCGAGCAAATACGGTACAGTATTTTACTCCCCGCAGAACCAGACAATTCTCGTATGACTCACCGTAGTTTGTACAATTATAAGTTTCATATCGAACTGCTCGTGCTCTGGAAAGACTCAGGATCTCAGCGAAGGCTTGGACTCAGGAAAGAAGAAGCAAGCCCATGACGGATGCCGTCGCAAAGCCAGCAACAGCAACAGTTCGCAGAGAGAAGAAATCGGGAGATGCACCGAGCGAGCTGGAAATATTTCCTATCCACGGGTCTTGGGATGAAATATTTTACTGGATGTGTCACTAACGCACGTTTCCATCAATCTGTGGCGAAGGATAGCTCCCGGGCTTTGCTCAGCGATGCTTGGAGGCGAATCCATTCCTTCCTATCTGTTCCACTGTACTGTATACCATCATGGGCCGTCGTGGAAGAAGGAAAAACCACAGGGCTGATGGATATCTCCGGAGCTTGGCCCGATAAATATTGCGCGGGATGAGAGAGCGGGCCTGAATTTCGGCCTGAGAGCGGCACTGTCGTAATGGCCACTTCGACTGCTGTACAAGCCAAGAGCTTCCCATAAATGATGCAACCCTTTCAAATTTCTTTCGGGTTCGCGCGTTGGTGTACTGCATTTTACTTTATTCTTCGAAGCCCTCCCGGTCGCCGACTTCTGACTTCGAAAGAACGAGCATATGGAACAGCTTTTTTTCGCACGGACTGAAATAATACCTATTGGGAACAATTTTAGACCGAGTTCCCAATAAAATAATGAAATTTCATTATTTCGTGCGGGGCCTGCATCGCGTATATTACTAGGTCGCGATGCTGTGACTCACGGGATGCTATGAAGTGGAAGGATTAAAAATGATGAAAACCAGGCGAAGATGAAGCCATCTTGTGACTATATGTCTTCATAAAAAGCCGACGATTTTTCCTTGGTTATTCTAGCACCCCATGAATTTTTTACCAGGCCCACGTATATATTACCCAACTGACAATCACAGTCCAGAGATTAAATTACTGTATAATTGAAAAATCGATGTTCATTGGTGCAGTATTGGCCGCATTCTTCCACCAAACTTTCAAAATCTGTCGTGAATTATAGCTCTCTTTAACTTCGACTTCCAATTATGTCTGACCACGGGATCTCACGGTGTGGGGGCCACCGATTTTTTCGGCGATCACTTCGCGGCAGATACAGTGTACTTGAAAATGTATGGTACCTCAAGAATTTATTCCAGAATCAAATTTTAAAAAATTACGTTCTCGTCAGAGGACAACACACCGGACCGTTCCATTAGTAGCTCGGTTTGAAGTGGAAGCTGAATTGAATCAAGTCGACACGCGGTCACTGATCAAAAGTCGTCGTATGAAAATTCAGTAATGCATCGTACTCCATACGATGGAAGCCCTTTCTTGAGAGAGCGACATCTATGAAATGACATAATCGCGGCGTACTCCTTCACTAGATAAAATCCTCCCGGTGACGTTGCTCAGATACAGGAAGCTCAGCAGCAGTCCGCATTTCAGCATGATCAGAAGATTTTTCAACACCAATATACAATACCTCCTGAACGTTTCTATCAAGAGTCAAGACGCGTAACTTGAGCAGTGTGAGCAAGAACTCCACTTCACTTCACGGTAAATATTGTTCATATACCTACTGTCATACGTACGTAAAAAATGTGAACACCATTCGTGAGAGGATAACAGGGAATTTCTTCAAAAAATTTTCATATAGCTCAAGCGGTCAAGCCATTCAGTAGGAGATGTCGATGTTCCAAGATTAGTCAATATTAAATGGTTTTATTTAGCACATCTTGATTTGAATAAGACACGGGATCAGATTTTGAAGAATGAAGACTTCATTGCTAAAATTTTTCGGCAATAACACAGCTTTTCACTGAATAAAATTCATTTTCCCGACACCAATTTTTGAAATCAGAATCACAAATACACAGCCAACTGCGACGACTTTCCAGACGTGACTGCGTAAAAACATCAATCCAGATAGGGACATTTTTTAATGAATTCAATAAACCTTCCGAACCATGAAACACACACACGCACGTTCGAGATACAGTACAGTACGATTAAAAAAATGAAATTCACATTTCTTTATGAACTGTGCCGATTCCTTCTATAGACAAATTTCTAACACAAAATAAGTTAACTTACAGAGAATACTTTCAAATTTCACGCGACCTCAGCTTTGCTTATCTCATATTAGCAGCTGGAAAAATGCAGCAAGTGCAGAATCTGCCGTTGAATACATCACACGACAAAATAGTGCATCATTCGGATTCGACTGAATACAATAAGAATCACAGATTAAGTATACGAATTGGCACTACAATTTTACCGTCAGACCATCACCTCATCTTACACTCCAACGGACTTGGTTTGGGGCAAAACAAGAAAAATTATCACGAATATATCAGCTCAACAAAATATGCGCACTAGCCGAGATCACGTTTTCACATAACCTTGCGATATACACTTGATTCGTGTCCACGGTTAAAGAATCCCGGGGCGCAATATCGACGACCAAAACCTGTGACGTTACTACCACGACGGATTTCCAGGCGGCCTCCATCACAGGGCCCTTCGACATGATTTTCAGCCATTTCGCCATCATTTTGACCAAAAAGCTAAGGAAAGCAAACGAGACCAACGAAAATTTGGTTGACGCCGCCTACAATTTTGGTTGAACCTTGATAACTCGAACCTCCATAACTCAAAAGCTTTTCCCCCGCAAACCCCTATAACCCAAATTTTCTGGAGACCTGGCAAATATTTTCGTGACCCAAGAAAGAGAAAAGCAATAAAAAAGTATCTTTGTGTTTTTCGAGAGGAAGTAGAAGCCTAATTTGGAAAATGCCTCCAAGTTCAGCATTCTGTCAATTTCTTCACAAAACACGTTTCGGACAAAAAAAATCACTAATTTCAACTCCATTCCATTCCTTTTTCATTTAAGGCAAACATGGTAGCTTCCCCAACTTGAAACCTTCAGACAATTTTTTTTTCGTCCCTTCTTGGAGTTCGACTTGAAGAGGTTCAACTGTATTATTTTCTGGTAACTTTACCATGACGTTTGTGAACCCCTCGTAAAGCTTAAAAACTTTCCCGCATTTCTAATGCACACGTGACGCGAGCAGATAGCATGAAATTTACCACCACTATTGGTAGCAATGTTAACCCCCATGAAAAAAATGTGCAGTGGCATCAAAATTTCCCAGATATTTGATTATCTTGACTAAGGTACCAAGTAATTAGACATGCATAGTGCTATTCAAAACGAAGTGCCCCCGTCAAAAAAAAAGTTCTAATGGCGGGAAATATCGGCGCATTCGCTCGCAGCACGTCTCAAATCATGAGAAAAGAACGGACGACCTTTAATATTTTGGTGGGGAATACAATAAGAAGGAAAAATTATAAGTCATAAGACTACAGCCGAACCCGATCTGCAACCAAAAACCTTTCGTGAAGCTGACCAAATTGTACTTCGTCAGGATTAACATCTAGCTGGTCCTTATATATGAATTCAAAGGGATCCCTTCTAACATAAGCACATCACGGCACAACAAACCTGCTGCTTGCAGTTCTCCATTTGATTTTTTGGCACGAGTTCCTCATTCGTACTCGTTCCCGTCGTAGGTTCAACATAGGATTCCCGTACTATCGATGCTGGCTGGCGCATCGTGAACTCGGGGTTCATCATTTCTTCGATCACAGGCACTGACGTGGGCGACTTCTTATAAACATCGAAATGCACAGGGGGCGAAGTTTGACGCGATTGAGGAATGATATCATCTATTTCACGGCTGACAAAAGGGTCTTCAGTCAATCCTTTCGCCAAAATCTCTGCGTACGTCAATGGCGCCGAAGATATTGCAGGCTCGGCAAGATTTTTCAAATCCTCCGGGGACGAGCCTTCACGAGGGGGAACTATCAAATATGGTCCATGATGCAAATAATGGAAGATCACTTCGGTGCTTTTCACATTCGCTGGCTCCTGGAATACTTGCAACAGCGGGTAGGACGGATACGGCAAGAATGGTCCAGGATTTAAATATTCCAACGACTCAATCGGGGCAAATCCGGGTAGTTCCCCCATTTGACAATATTCAGCAGCTTTCTGCATCATGCTCAAAATTCTGGCGGTTTCCATCTGCGTCCGACTGCTGCTCCCCTCCGCTTGAGCATGAATACGATGCAAGTTATTTTCCAAGTCCATGGACAGCAGATAATGACCGCCGCGAATTCCCATCTACGGAAATATACAATTCGTTCGCTATTCGAGGTAGAGGATCTACGGAAATATAGAAGTCGTTGGCTATTCAAGGTAGAGGATCTAAAACTTGGGAAGCTTCAAACCGGCGCTAAATTCTGGGTTATGCTTGGAAAATGTCAAGTAAAAAAGGCAATATCATCCATCGGCTTTGCCTGTCTGAACAACATTAAATAGCAACAACAAAAAATGTCTCGACAATTTGATTCTCCTGTTATTATTGAACAAGGTGAAAAATAAGTATCTTTCCAAGGGAAAAAAAATATTCGATTGAATAGGCGGGATAAGAAGTGTAAGATCCAAGTTTCAAGAATACAACATTCGGCAAGCAAATGGTGATATCTTCAGATTTGGCACGTTTACGAGTGGTTTCTCAGCAGAAGTCCATCAAACCGTCTAAAAAGCGGTCGCAACAATTCATGATCAATCATTTTCGTTAATTTTTGACGACAGAAAATACATCGCATTCAGATCTTTCGAAGATATAAGCAGAGTGACATTAAAGAGTTCGGGGTGCTGTGTTGGATTTCCTGCTGCTGGTTTTAGTTTTTTCTACTTCCTCGTACGGTCTGTACACAATCCAAGGAAAAACTACGCAGACTCGACAGAGACAATGTTCAAAACAGTTCAGTACATTTAAAATTTTCTTTTACGGCTTTTTAATGTTGTGGTTTAAAATTCTATTGCTTGCGCTTTTCATGGCAAAAGGTCCCAGGAATGGACATCCCAGATGAAAATTAGGCGTCTGTGATGAAGGTAGGAAAGAAATGCTGGACCAAATTTCAAGGATCTACACAACAAAGGCACACAGTATGCGAAATTGTGGCAATTGTTTTTTCGTCGAGTTTTGTCCTCTTGATCCCAATTGGTATATAGTGCATCGATCAATAGTACTCGTACATCGTTGCCACTGAAATCTTAGCTGAACGAATTATTTTCTTCGTCTGTTTTTAAATCACGGATTGAGCGACCAGTGATGTTATATAATCTACACTTTCAAAAGAATGCCGATTGAAACAAACAGTATTTGAAGAAAAGAAAATCCCACCTGACTAATTGCGTACATCAATCCCACTGTTCTCGCAACAATCTGATTCAGCATTTCATTTCTTCCGTACGTCAAACTCAGCATTGGGGCGGCGAAACAAGCCATTCTCGAATCCAAAAAGTACTCTTTGGTCGCAGAATCACGCGCCAATACGATGAACATGTTTAGAACCTGAAACAAGCCTTTCTTTTTTTCCATGCACACTGAACTTCGGTTTCAATATTTTACTTTTCAATGCTACAAAAAAAGAGGCAAATTACATTTCTTGCTAAAGCGACGGTCTGAAGGATCCATCCCAACTTAATTTCACTTTTTTGTGCGTGGAAAAAACACAAATGAACCACATACAAGAACGAAATGACACTTAATCACATTCACAATCAGCATTTCTGCACATGTCATGCACCTCTTACCGAACATAATATCCTCGTGTCCAGTTCGGTTACGGCCACGGATCCTACGATCAACGTATATCGTGAGGAGATTTCTGCCAGCATACAAGTCATGGCTCCAAAAATGTTCTGAATATAACTTGCTAACGGCAAATCCAAATTTTGCACGATCCCTTCTCTAAAAATATAAAGGGATTACTTTCGAAGAAATAAGCACAGCGACTACCGTGTTCGCCACAGAAAATACGACTAATCTCCAAACAATTTATTTTTCTCCAAACATGCACGAAGTTATTTCGATAGTTCATAGTTCCTAGGAATCTACGGGGTGAATTGGGAAACTTCGGCCAAATGTTAAACTCGCAAAATCGAAAGAAAGTTAAAAATCATGAACTTTTATTCGGCCGATTTTGGCAAAAACATTCGGTGTAAGCGCCGAATGTTCCTGCATACCAGATGGTCCTGGAGAAAGTCCCTCACGTCCGAAGTCACATGCTCAAAGCCCACCACTAAGCTGAGGGTGCAAAGCCATGCCTTGGTAATTGTTGATGAAATATTGTATTACAAAAGTTACAAAAAGGCTCATGATTGAACCTGGTTACATGTTCAAAGTACAGTATTTTATTGATGTTGTAGTTTGGGGCTGCCCAGCCATACATTGAAAAATGTTACAAACATTTCATAGTACATTAATATGATTAGGGCTGGTTACATGTATCAGCTCCACAATTAGTATTTGCTTTGGACCCATGGCTACACATTTCAGGTGTTTATCTGCCACATAATCCACAAAAACTACACAGACTAAGTCCCACTTTGGAGAGGAGTGCATCTTACTCCTAATTAGTAAGATTTTGTGAACCTCCCTGAAAGTACCCTTACCCCAGACTTCAGACCCCTAGAGCTAATTATATCTTCATTTTTCAAGTAAAAGTTCCTTTTAAAATTTATCATTCTGCTGTTACCCCATTTTTGGACAACAAAGTCCCTAAACCATTGAGTACATGGTCAAGACCCACCTTTGCACTCACAATGGTTGGGTTGCAGAATTTAAACTGATTTGATTATAATGCTTGGATGGTTTGCCAAATTTAAAGTGATTCCTAAAGTGGAGTCCTTCATTTTAGCTCCATTTATCACAAATTTTGAAAGTTCATGTGCTGATCACTTAATGCTGAACATTAATTCTTCACTAATCATTGTTGAATTATGAGTATGGAACTACACTGTAGTCCTACATTGTGCCCAGAGCAATATGGTATATGATAGTGGGTTTGGGTTGAGCATCTTTGCCCCAACTCATTCCAGAGCCTGTCAAGGATGGAGACCATTCAAAGATATTTTTTTTAATGAAGGGGGAAACATGTAGGATGATCTTGTAGACTTGAAAAATACATTACCCTCTCCCCCATGTGAGGAAAAAAGTTTTGCATCAAAAGTAAAACACAAAAAACTGGAGATATGTGGTGAAAATTCTTAATATTTTAAATCAATTTTATGTTTCAAAAAATCAATTTTTATAATTTTTGAAGGGTTCAATAGGCCCTAACATTTGGCTACGAAAATGTTTTATGATTTCTGAATTTTAAAAACTTCATACTTTCAAACTTTTCCCATTTTGAATTCAACTCATTTATGAAGATTCTTCCAGTGCCCAAAATTCCATCATTCTCCAAGGTGTGTCCACCCTGAGTTTGGCTCCTTTTACATTTTTTTTCTTGAAAAATGTTCATGATCATGAATTTAAAAATTTACACCTGGAGGTGAACATTTTGAAAACTTCATTTTTTAATTCAACTCAATTTCCAAAATGCTTCCATTGCCTCAAATTTTTGTTTTTTTTAAAGGTGTGTGCATTTTAACATTTGGCAGTAAATAAATATTCATAATAAATTGATTTTAAAATTGAAAACTGCATTTAGAAATTTCGAAAATTTTGCTTTCCATATAGAACTCAACTCAGTTTTGAAAATGTTTTCAATGACTCAAATTCTGTACTTTTTTCAGAGCATGTATGGCCTAAAGTTTGGCTCATTTCAAATTTTTTCATGGAAAATATTTCATAATTGCTGAATTTGATAATTAAAAACTGCAGGTGAAAATTTCATCACTTTCCCATTTTTTCAGTTTACCTGAGTTTAAATTTTTGGATTTTGATGAAATTTTGAAAATTGTCGTGGGGTAGCATTGAAAAAAGTTTGATTAGGTGCCTCAGATAATCCAGAATAAAAACTTGAAAAACAGGAAACAAAACTGGTTTTATTTCCACTTTAGTCCATTTTAATTTGTTTAGTTTTGAGATATGTAAAAGTTCTTTCCCAGATAAATTCCTGCTGCTGATCTGCAAATTTTATTATTTTTAAATAATTCATCAGGAAAATTCCATTGATTTCATTCAATTTTATGAAAATGTTTTTCCCAACTTTGAAAAATGTTTGTATATGCTTGATCATAACCTTGTCAATTTTTGTGATTTTTTCAAATTTGAAGTTCAGAAATGTAGGTAACTTCATGGCGCATGCAATGAATTCAAAAATTTTTCATTTGATGCATTTGATCATCTTCAATAAATTTTGAAACTTGAACAAATGGGAAATGAAAGTTTCCTGAAGTTTCAGATTTTTCACTTTAGCTCATTTTAAATTCTGTAATAATTGCTCAATTCAAAATGTTTTACATGGCTGATAAGGCATTGATGTTTCAAGAATTCACATGGTTTTTAAATTGAAATAGGTTGAAAACTTTGTAAACAAAAATTCAAGAAGTAAAATTGTGTTTTTGCGATTTTTGTACGATTTTCAAAAATCTTTTTGCATTTTCTACTGTATCTTTATAAATTTTCAATCTTTTCAACTGTTTAAAAAAAGAAAATCTTGAAAACTTCAGCGCGCATTCAAAATCAAAAGAAATTTTGCATTTTGTCAAAGATTGATTTTTGTACAAATTTTTAAAGTCAAAAAGTTTGGAAACGAAAAATGTCCGAGTTTCCAGTTTATCTCATCATAACTTTTTATCTAACAAAGCAATTTCAAATTTGAAAACAGATTTGAATGCGCGCTGAAGTTTTACGAATTTTAGTATTTTTTAAGTTAGAAAAATATTAAAAATTGGCCTAGTTAAAGTGGAAAATGTAGAACTTTTTTGAACATTTTCGTTCTTGGCGAAGCAGGACAGCAGCATCTGCTTCCCCTGTGGGCGGGGCTTAGGGGGAGGGAGACAGGAATAGAGCGGGAAACAATGAGGGATAGATATTCAGCCGACGGAGTGACCGACGGTCGCAAGCAACTTTATTATAGGGGACAAGCTGGGGGTGCCCAGCCACACCTGGGCATTGGACACATTTTTTAGTTTTGAAAACTTTGATGCACTACAGAAATTAATATGTGGGAGAGGGGGTGCCCTCATGCAACTGTGTATAAAAAAAGTATGATTAAAGTTGGATAACTGGTGAAGGACCACCAGTAATCTTGTACTTGTGCTCAATGTGTCAGTTGTGGCCTGGTGGGCCACAACTGGCACATGAGCAGGGGGATTTTATTATTTGTCACAATCCCAACTTGGAGTACCCAGCCAAACATGGAAGTATAATTGTTACATGATGAAAATGAATTTTACAAAGTTGAATGATGAAAGCTGGTAACATGCCAAGA